GCTGCCTTTTTATTTTGCTTTAAAGGCGAATAAGTAATGTGATATTTGGGAGTTATATCGATAATGTGCACACACCATAAACAACCAAACAATGTTAAAACTATCAACACTGAGAAAACGCACTTTACAGCCAAATGAATCTGTCACGTCTAATGAGCTTGTTCAAATTTAAAGCGGTAGCTCCACAGAGGAGAAAAGTGTGATGATGAAAAAACGAGCTGCATGTATCTCATCAGGTATAATTCAGTGTAAAACTAAAGAAACACACACACATGCACACACACACACTCCTCAGTCCTACCTGTGATGTGCGGCTCCGTCATGAGAGGCTGTCGTCTGAGAACATTAACCATGGCGAGGAGCTGACAGACAGTGATACTATTGAGAACAGTGTTACATGAGAGGCTCTGAGTGGAGCACTCACCTGGAGCCCGGCCCCTCGTGTTCACAACCAACAGGCAGACGAGGTTCAACAAGTGGCACGAAGCACGCCAACAGGCTGATACGCAGAGATGTGTGATGTTTGCATGAACAGTTCAGCGTGTGTGACTGTTAAAATCATACTGGCCAATTTCTCAAACTCTCTCATCCAGGTCTCCACTCCCTCCTGCCCTCTACACTCTGCCAATGAAAGGTGTCTGATTCAACCTTCACAACAGGGTCCTAAGTCTCTGACTAGACTCTTCTCCTCTGTCGCCCCCCGGTGGGGGAATGAACTTCCAAACTCCATTCGATCTGCAGAGTCCCTCTGCATCTTTAAGAAAAAGCTAAAGACCCAGCTCTTTATGAACACCTACAACCTTCATGATGATGATGATGACATTTAGGATGTTTTGATGCTGATTAGAACTCTCAAGAACAGCTGTTGATGTCGTGCTCTACCTCTGGTCACTTCCTGTCAGCACCTGTGTGTCTCAGATCGGACTTAAAGCTGTTCGTTTGCACTTCCTGTCGTTTTTTCCTCCTCTCTAGATCCTCCCTCGTCATGTTCTTACTCTATGATGTTCGTCACTTTGGATAAAAGTGTATGCTAAACGAATTGTAGACCTCCCTCTTCTTCTTCTTCATGTTTGTATTGCTCTCATTTTTTCTTTAATTTTCTTTAATTGTTCTGCTTTGAAGCTTTAACTGCCTTGTGAGACCTGCTTGTTGCATCTTTATTATTCCTGTAATTTGCACGTTTTATATTATTTCTGCAGACTCCTCTCTGATTGGCCAGTTTGTTGCTGTTTGAGTTGTTGTTGTTCTGACTACTTGCTTCGACTCTCAAACCACTTTGCAAACATCTGTTTTTAAAGGTGCAACATAAATCAAGTTGATCAGATGATTTTAAAGTCTATGAAGCTGCATTGTGGGAATTGTAAGATTCAATGTGTTTAGGTCATACTACGGACAAAATGTGAGGACATATCAGTCCCCCTGTTGGCAGTTTAAAACATGGAGTTAAAATCACCACAGTTCAAATATGTTGAAGGGATCTGCTCACAGCCTGCTGATGACTTCAAGTGTGTGAGGTTTAACGCCATCTAGAGGTGAGGCTGCAGACTGCACCCAACTTAAACTCTTCCCCTCCCCCGTGTTCGGTTAGTCCACTCTTAAAATGACATCATTGTCGTCTCTATGAGTAGACCCTGCCGCCTTTTCTAAGGGTTAAGAAAACACTCAGGCTGTGAGCTCAGTCTTACATGATGGTGTTTCAAAGAAAGGTTGTTTGTTTTATTTGCCACTTCACTTCTGGCATGGAGGGAATAACTTTCTGCAGTCTAAGCTGGATGACAGTACCTCAAGAAGTTTCTAGCTTTACTCTGATTTTATTTAACTAACAGCACAGACATCTGATTCACATGAATGAATCCAAAGTTGTAAACATGTTCATGTAGATTTTACAAACTTTACTTTCAAATGCAGAGCCTGAGTGGTCGACGTTTGCGTTATCGCATGAGAACACTTCCAGAATGAAATTCTGCTCCCACTCAGGTCACGATTTGACCATTCAGTCTGATTGAGCTTTGACACCAGATCCTGAGAGGGTCTCCAGTTTCTGTTTAGAGAGAGGGGGTGGGGCTGCAGGTGAAATAATATGAGCGGGCCGGGAGGGAAAGATGCTGCCTGCACGCACTGAGTGGAGAAGATCAACAGCAGTGAAATGTTCTGTTTTCTCGTATCACACGAGGGATGTGAGATGTGTGTTAGATGAAGAAGTTGAATAATTTCAACCCTTAAAAACTTAAACTTGGATCTTGTTCCTGAAAGCAAACAGAACGGCTTCTGTTGTACAACGATGACCCCTCATGAGACCTTACAAGGACAATAACTGTTCATTACTGTTAGTTAAAACTAACAAAAGCTTGAACAACACACACTGGAGGTTACAGATTAAAACCAGTGTGTGTGAATGGATTAGTGTTGTACTATTATCTGATGTACGTCGCTTTTGGATAAAAGCATCTGCTAAGTGAATTGTTGGAAACCTTTTTTTTTTTTGGAACAGCTCAGGGTTTTTTGGGGGGCATTTCATGCCTCGGTCTGAGATAGGGCAGTGGCCAGAGCCAGAAATCGGGGAGAGAGAACGACATGCAGGAAAGGAGCCACTAGCCGGATTTGAACCCGGGCCTTGTTAAATAAATGTCAACAAAAAATGTTTACACTTAGTGCTTCCATGAAAAACTACCCACCTTCAACAAAATAATCTACAGAAGCCATAAAGGACACACTTCTTTATTTTATCTGTGACTGCAGGCACATTTCCGATGCTATCTCAATTTATGTCATTATCTTGGATTAAAACGCTGGAAAAAAAGGAAAACCTTTTTGTTGTTGACAAAAAAATGTTGCAGAAGTCGAGAACGTCCATCTGCTCGACAGCAGAAAAATCGAATAAGAAGAAGAAGTCTGAGCACTTTGAGGTGCAACAGGGCGACGTGCTTCACGGCGGCAGAAGTCGATACACCATCCTTCAGTTGGTAGGCAGTGGATCCTACGGCAAAGTTGCCTGGTCGGTGGATTTGAACACCAAAAAAGAGGTCGCCGTCAAGGTCTTCGAGGCCGAGAAGACCAGAGCCGCGAGGAGAGAGCTGAAGATGCTCGGAGCTCTGAGCGCTCTCGACCCGGCCAAGGCCAACGTGGTGCAGTTCTTTGAAAGCTTCACGCACCGAGGTCTCGCCTGTCTGGCTTTTGAAATGCTGGACAAAAGTGTTCATCAGCTGATGTGTGACAGACGATGGAAGCCCCTCTCTCTCGCGGAGATCCGGCTGATCGCAGAGCAGCTGCTGACGGCCTTGAACGCCCTGAAGAGCATCGGCGTCATCCACGGCGACCTGAAGTCGGACAATGTCATGTTGGTGAACCACGAGAGCGAGCCCTTCAAAGTCAAACTGATCGACTTTGGCTTGTCGCTGAAGACCTCTGAGGCGGAGGACGGTATGGTCATACAGGCCCTCAATCACCGGGCTCCTGAGGTGACCCTGGGCCTCCCCCCTTCAGAGGCAGCTGACACGTGGGCTCTGGGCTGCCTCCTGGCGAAGCTCTACATGTCCAACTACGTCTTTTGGAATCAGTGCGAGTACCAGCTGATGAAGAACGTCGTAGATATAGTCGGTCAGCCGGCCGACCACATCCTCGATGCCAGGAGATTCACTAAGAAGTTCTTCAAGGAGAACCGCTACTGGGACTACCCGAAATGGTGGCTGAAGACTCCGATGGAGTACAAGCTGGAGACGGGCCTGGTGCCTAAAGTCTGCCAGCGGTCCGTCAGTTCCCTGGAGGAGCTCATCACAATCATCCCAGAGGTTCAGGATTCCATCGAGATGGAGGATCGTAGAGCCTTTGTGAGTCTGCTGAAGTGTCTGCTACACACAGACCCCGGGCAGAGGATCAGTCCTGACAGGGCCCTGATGCACCCGTTTGTCTCCATGGTCCACCTTGAGGCAGAATGGGACACGAGCCTTTATGTCGAGGACTCCTATGACAAAATGGCCATCGTCCAGGTGGATGACTCAGAGGACAAACTTGCTCCCGTCGAGACATTTTCTGCCGCAGGATCGTCCTCTTCTGACTCCAGTGATGCCGTTTCAAACAACGCTTTGTGTGATGGAGGCAACGCAGATAAAGCAGCACCAGCTGTCAGCCCACCTGGAGGGAGCAGCGGCAGCAGCAGCGGCGGTGCAGCGGAGGAGGACAACGATGGTTCACCCGCTGAAGGTGTTACCGTGGAGGGGAAGGTCGGCCACCTGAGAAGGATCAAAAAGTTCTACAACCGGGCTGTGACGAGTATGAGGGCCGCTGATACCGCTGAGATACAATTTTTTTTTCCTAATAATGGTAAGTGCGGCCGCGAGGTAGTGTTGTAGTCAAGATCACACCAACCGAGACCAGACATTTAGGGTTCGAGACAGAGTCAAGACCAAGACCATAAATATCACTGAAAAATCATCATCTTTTGCTCAGTGGGCGTGTCCCTCACTTACTGTAGACCGTAACACCAGGAAGGTTGCGGCCGTAACTGGAGGATAAAAATCAAATTACAAATAAATTTAAGTTATTTGTTCTTTTAGAAAAAGGCGTTTTCCTTCTAATCACAGTAATAACTTGAGGAGATAGCCATCAGTGTTTTAAATCACATCAGTCTGAGACAAGACCGAGACGAGACTGAGACCTTCAGAGACTGATCTCGAGTTAAACAGACCTTTTTCATGTTTTGAACCAGGCTGTAAACATTTTTAGTTTCTGCTGTAAAAACACTTTTGAATGGGTGTGTATGTGACTTCCTGTTCTCCTGCAGCCACCCTCTAGTGGACACTCAAGGAACTGCAGCATTTCACACTTTTGCATCAGCTTCATTTTTAAACACCAGAGGTCACTGCTTAGATACAACACAAATGTGATATTTGACTGGTGTGTTTGAAGAGAAGCACATTTATTAATAATATATTCTAAAGGCTTTAAAGCAGCAGGTCACACAGTCTATCATCAATAAAAATTAACCACACAGGACAAAGAAGGGTGAAAAATTACTGCTTTACTTTTATCGTTTGAAATCACTCGACTGGAATTATTTGTACAACTGCATTTTGTAAAATATACATCAATATGATTAATTCAACACAACAACACAACACAGTGTGAAACAAAGGGAGGAGAGAAAAAAGAGAGTCGTCTATCTGTGCGGCTAAATCAGGAAACACGAGGAAGATTAATTTTGCAACACTGAAATAGTTAAAACACCCTGAAACACGAGGTGAGGGAGCAAATGTGAGGAAGACGTTACAGCAGGTTTTAAACAGTCGTGGATCAAAGTGAGTTAAAAAAAAAATAACACTCCTGCCTCACAGAAACATCTGCACGCAACAAACTAGGAAGTCAACACTTCAGTTTTAGTTACTCAAGGAGCAGCTTTATCACTACACACCCAGAATGCATCAGTTCATTCAAACGTTATCTGGGTCTGGATTTTGAAGACAACTCAGACCTGGGATGGATTTGATTTAATGTTCTCTTTGCACTTCACTAAATGTCCCTGAAGTGATTTGTGTGCTCCAGTACTTTCTTTGGATCCTGAGAGAAGGTGTCCTTTGAATTATTTTGAAAATGAGTTTTGAATTTGTCGGCTGTCTGTAAAAAGAAATTGACATTAATACAATTTGGCCACATTGCAGGCGTACAAAAATATCTTAAAGATGATTGTTTTTTTTGGTGGTTAAACTTCTAGAGGTCAAATCTGTTTTCCCTTGATAAGGACAGCGTGCAAACCGTGCAAATCTGGACATATAAAAATAGTTTCCCATGGCGGTAGAAGACACAAAAAGCCCCACAGACAGGATGTGACAACGCAGCAGGAGCAGAGGATCGAGCTGATTGGCATCTTTGAAGAAGTAGTATTAACACTCTTCTTGTTCAGATATAAAATGTGATCACAGTGTTGCACTTTAAAGAGGGAAAAAAAATGTCACATCACCGCAGGAAGTCACACTTCCTGTTCCTTTCACACTGACTCACTCTGTCCACACACTCCCCCCCCCCCCCTGCCTAAAAGGTCACAATTCAGATGTGAAACACTGCGAGCTTTTAAAACGGGGTCGGGGCTGCTTCTGTGGCACAGGTGATGATCTGAGTCAAACCTGCAGCTTCATCACAGGAAGCAAACTGTTTTAAACTGAACAACAACAGGTTGTGTTGTTCTGGATATCAGGTAGAGAAGGTTTGAAAACACCGATCACTAAATCAATTATCTGATCTGATCAATATCCGTTTGTCCCACTCTGCTTAGAAACTAACGTCTCATCTGAACCAGGAAGTAGCCTCTTGAACAAACGCTAACTCGCCACCAGATTAGTGATTTTTTTTTAACGTCGCAACCTGAAGTAGACGTTTGAAATGTCACAGACTAGATAGGAGAGATAGAACAGCCAACACTAGAAGAACAAGAAAAATATATTTTAAAAGTACCTAAACATGGCTCATGCAAAACACTGTCCACAAGCATCCCACACCAAGAATATCAAAACTGACTGCCCCCCGCCCCCCCAACCCTGTTGTACAAAAATACAGAGCTGTAAGTACAAAATTAAAAGCTCAGCTTTTTGTTCATCGTTTGACATTTAACACGTCTGCTAACGTGTCACTGAGGATGTCATTATTTTGAAAAAGTCGAGCAGACTCAGAAGCAGCTGTCGGCCCACACGGAGGCAGCGGCAGCAGCTGAGGAGGAGGAGGAGCTGCGGTCGGACACTGAACACTGAAACAATCATCACAGTAGAATCAGGGAATGAGTTCAGGACTGGAAAACGAAGCGACTGCCCACTCAACAACTTTTAAAGTCGTGGAGAATTCACGCACACGACTCGATCAGGTGACATACTAAAAGTGAAAATTGTATACTGATCAGGGAGGCTGACTGGAGGAGCTGATCCTTTACTCTTCATGGTTTATCAGATGCCAAAACATTGCACAGCAATTCAGTTTGAATGGATGACGAAGCCTGGTTTGAAAACTCTCACAAGTCACAGTGTCGATCATTTCTGTATTTGATATGTTTGTTTCAGCACTCAAAGGGTTAACGTTGAAGTAGAAGTTGGTTCTTTGGTGTTTGAGACACAGTGGTTAATGACATCCTTTAATAGTGATCCATTTATTCAGCTCACTGTTAGTGACTGTATATAAGAAGTGGACGTAACCTCAAAGTCCAACAAGTGAAACCTGCATTATTTATAATGGCCAGCAGGGGGTGACCCCACTCGATGAAAAACAAAGTCTTGGGGAAAATGACCATTCTTCTCCCTCAGTAAACATTTTACTCACAGGTTTCTGGTCTCAGTCTTCCCTTTCAAGTCTTCCTCAACGCTGCAGGACGTTCATTTTATAAACGAGGGTCCCATTAAAAGTCAAATGGATAAAAAAAAAGCAGCGCTCTCCAAATGAATGTGTCGCTAACAATCAGGATCAAGTTGAAGGAATGTCTGGACACCCTGCCACAGTTCAAAGACGGGATGCAACATTTGTGTGTATATACCTTTAAGACCTGATGCAATGTCAATGCGTATTGTTTTTTTTGTTTTTGTTAAGTGATGATTTTAAAAAATTTGAATGAACTTAAGTGCAAAGGCAATGCTTTTCAGTGAAATTGGAGGGTTTAGGGTTTTAAAATGTCCTCTACCGGCTGCAGACGATGAGAAATAAGATTAAAGGGGGTGTGTTTTTTAGGTTCTAACGGGTTACGTTTTCAAACAGCAGTCTAAAGACCAATGAGCGATGTACGGTAACTACCTCGACTTCTTACATACAGTCTGTGCTTATCTCGAACGCCTGCATTAATCGACTTGTATTGAACTTGTCTAGATTGAGCTGAATGTAATATAATCAAAGATCCCTTTAATCTGAACAAACACAGACAGCGCTGATTTGTCATCATGTACTCCCTCTTTTGTATCCTCGACTAATGACTAACCTGTGTTTGACTCAGGACAACAGCAGCCTGACACACATGAAGCAATCACACACACACACACACACACACACACACACTGACAGCGTTAGTGCAGCACAGAGAGAGACCGGTCCTGAGAGGAGAGGGGAGGAGAAGTGGAGGGTCACTTGAAGGCTTGCTGCAGGTTTTTAAAAGCAGTGCGTCTCTGTTTCTGCTCCTCCGCCTGCTTCTTCTTGGCCTCCTGCTCCTCACGGATCTCCGCCTCAAACCGGTTGGACTGATTGATGGCCTGGACCTGTCGGACGGGAAAGCACAAACACAGATCGGTCAGGTGATGGAGATCACAGCAGTGGAGGTCGGAGGCTAAGAGTAGAGAATAGACCGGGAGTTTCAAAGATCTGTGTCCTTTCAGGGCTAACAGGAAGCTGCATCTGGGTACAAAAACAATGAATTGACTCTGAATCGGACCTGCTCCAACCCGGCCAATAACGCTTAAAGGTCACATATTATCCAAAATCCATGGATGTTCCTCTAACTCTAATATGTGTCTCTAGTCTGTCTACAAACCCCCCAATGATGAGAAAAGTCCATCTTCTCTGTCTTTTTCCTGCTCCACTTTTCAGAAAATGTGTGCTCAAACAGGCCGTTTGGAGATTTTCCCTTCATGACATCACAAAGGGCAGTAGCCCCTCCCCCAGGTGGGTGACACTCCCACAGCTAGGTGTTTGTTCTGCCCTCTGAGTCTGCCTTCTCACCGTAAACAATAGGACATGGAGCGAGAAAGCACCAAGACACCCAATCCCCTTCCAGAGAGGGGGCGTGGTCAGACACAGCTCATTTACATATTTAAAGGTACAGACACAGAAACAGCCTGTTCTGAGCAGGGCTGAAATAGAGGGGTTTGTAGACATGATCAAATACAGGATCAGAGTGGATTTAGAACATGTTATTCTTTTGAGTACAGTCCACACTGCAGTGGCCTCTACAGAATAAATACTTTGCATACAAAATGGACAATCTACTTCAACATAACATGCTGTCTTTTTAACTTTGATGCTTACGCTCATCGATGTGTCGCAGCTCTCACGGTGCTTCGGCATGCTGCCTCACTGCTAAGTGTTTGTATGGCATTCATTTAACACACCCTAAACATGAGTGGAATGACTGATGGTGCTCATTAGAGTGACAGCTGGAGCTTGTAAATCAACTCCTGAAGTGGTGATGAGCACTGACGTTTTATGAAGCAGCTCCATACAAAGTGTGATTCCACACACGCATGTCAGTCATTAAATAAGACATGACATTAGCACACCTGGCTTTAACGTTAAGGTTTGGTTTGCTGTTGAAAAATGTCATACATTTATTTATTAGAATTATTGTGTACTATGGATGTAAAGATGAATCCTAAAATCGTGATAAATCGATAAGTAGAGCAGAGGCGGTCGGCAGCTGCAGAGCAAGATTTAGAAATTGAGGACGCACCACCGTCTTTTAAAGGCTTTATATGTGATTTTTCACACTTAAATGTAACAGAAATCAAGTATATCCTCTGAAAATAACTCTGTGAGTCATGACTGTCTACAATGGGTGTAACACCCGAGTCCCACTGTCTGTGATGCTTTCAGAGTCCTATCTTCACTTTGTTTACATCGCCAGGACGGCCGGCTGACTCCTCCCCTCGAGTATAAAAGTTGTTTAATTGAGGGACTAGAGAAAAGAAGAATAACATACTGTACTCACTGCTTAACTGTGTTTCTAGATCACGCTCATTTCAGGTAAATTTACATACAGTGTGAAGATACGAGCATAATAAAGATCGCTAGCATTAGCATGCTAACACAACAATGCAGCGTGAGTTGTTTTGGTTTCATGCTGGTGCTCAAGGGCGACACCTGCTGGATCAAAAAAATCACATATAAAGCCTTTAAATCGGAGGAAGCATTTTGGCTTCCCCAAGACAGAAAATCGAAGAGGTGAGAAGATAACAGACGAGACAAAAACTGTGTGCAAATATTACAAGAAGACAGAGAAGTACACAAATATCACAACCAACATGATGCAGCATTTAATCCACACCACAACAAGAAGCTCCAGTCACCTCCCCTTGTCGAGTAAAAGGCCAAACCACACTGACAAGCGGGTTAGCAGCCCCTAAAGGTTTCAAGTGAGGTTTCACTCCTCATTTGTCTACAGTCTCATTTTGTAAAATAAATCGTGAGAGAATCGTATCGTGAACCCAGTATCAAAATAAAGCATTTTGGTCCTTTTTCAGTCTCTGAAATAAGCGACCCAGAGCTCATGTTTAAGGCTGAAAGTAAACCTTCTCCTGTGTGTAACTTCATTGATTGTGCGTCGTGCTTGGAGCATCTAAACGTGGTTAACCTACACTCAGTCCTGTGCCTTAATGCATCCTGTGTGGACACTAATGGAGGACTGAAGCTTCAGCTGCATATATGCTGCTTTCACTTTGAAACCCACTGGGACATTCACTGGGATTTCAGACTTGAGGAAATCTCCTGAAAAACTCGAGGAGGAGCGTCATGTGTGAACGCAAACAGCCAAATTTTTTCTCTCAGACTTCACCCGGAGTTTCTCCTCCAGCCTCCTCGTATTTATTCTGCAGAGAGTCAGAGTGAGCTGATGTGAGAACGCAGCAGGATATAATTAGGAGAATTCACCTGGAGCGAGCAGTCCTCCTGAAATTATCTAGATATTTTCATAATCTAATTAAGGTTGGCAACGTTTACATCAAATACTTTGCTTAGAAAATGAATGTCAGCCTCTATAAACTGTGGCAGAGATTAGTCACACAGAACCTGATGCTTCACTCCGACCTCATATGATGAAACACTTCCTCTTTCTTTGAATGTTGTGACTGTTTTGACACAGTCTGTGTTGTTAGAAGCTCGCAGTGCGTCTTACTTTGGCTTCAAAGAAGGTCTTGGCTCCCTTCACGCCTTCTTCAGAGACGTCGATTTCCGAGAGGCGAGCGAGGACACAGAGGCCGCTGTCCTCCGCCAGCTCTCCTGCTGCTGCTTTCCTGAAGATCAGCAGGAACTGAAGAGGACAGGAAGAACACAAGCGGCGTTTAAACCATACTGAAGGGATACACACACATCCTGCGACGGGTTCTTCGTCCTCTTTTTTTTTTTTGATCTTTTACCTCTCTGAAGTTGAGCTTGTTGTCCAGGTCCTCGTCCACCTCCTTGATCATGTTCTTTAAGGCCATGTGTGTCTGCGGCGCTCCGAGCTTCTCCATCATCAGCTTCAGCTCCATCAGGTCGATGTAGTTATCTTTCCCTGCATCGTACCTAAACACAAATGAAGATAAAAAAAACATTAACTGGTTCGTTAAGGCCACTTCAGATAGTTTAGATTTATTTTTAAAGCGTCTGTTTAATACATCTTGTTCCTGCCAGCTGCCAAGAACCATGACAGTGAAAATAATTTTGTGTGTGACGGTCCTAGCATTAAAAGAAGTTATTCTGGATAATACACAGAGCTCATTGATTACAGTTTTTAAAAACCACTCCCTTCTGAACAAATAAAACTCGGTTCCCAGAAGAGAATTTGAGTTCTGCTTTTGTTTTGTTTCCTCTGTAATTTCTCTGCTGTGACGACGAGTTTCTGGAACTCACTTTTTGAAAGAAGGCCGATCAGACGGCTCAAGAACGAGTATCAGTGATCAGGTGAACTGATATGTTGATACAACCTGAGGAGACCTGATTGTAGAAAAACAGAGCAAACTCAGTGATCTAATCTGAAAGACAAAGTATAAGGTCTCCTCTTGGCAGCCCCGGTGGAGACCTTCATCTTTAGATAAACAGTTACAGTGTAACAGTTCCCTTTGTGTTAACTCAAAGTTGACCTATGATGCTGATCTATGTTTTAAAACTCACATGTAGTGTTACAATGCTGGGTGCCCAAACTAAACATGGACAACGTTTCAGATCATGAGGTAAATGTGCGTTGGGAGTAATCCCAGGATGAGTCTGCAGAGGGCGCTAAACGAGTTGTTCTGGAAATTACAAGATAGTTTCCCGATATGAACAATCCTCTTACATAGGCTCTCTTCTCCCAGCACTGGAGAGCTGCCCTCCCCTGGCAGCCCTGCAGTGGTCTGTCTCCTAGAAGGCTTCCAGAGAGCTGGCCAATCAGAAGAGAGTGGGCAAGTCTGGAGGGGGGGCCTTAAAGAGACAGTAGCTGAAACAAAGCGTTTCAGGCAGAGGCTGAAATTAGGGTTTTAATGATGCCAGAATCAGATAAATAAGGAGGTGACAACCTGAAAGGTGAACTTGAGGAAAATATGGGATATTTAAGTTTCAGCTTTCTCTAAAGCTAGGTAAGTTTAGCACAGAGAGAATTGGCTGTCAGCTCTGTGTGTTCCCAGCAGAGGAAGTCAGAGTCGATCAGATTGCATTTCCTCTCTGGCAGACACTTTTGGCCTGGGTCAGATAATTTCTTCCTGAATACTCCCCTTTGTGTTCAAAAAGTCTGCCAATGATCTAATTATTGACCCACTGATTCACATACCTTATCGTCTCTACATCCGGCCGCGGATCAGATAAACGTTTACCTGATTATATTTTACAGCGAGCAATCTTTAATATCTTTTCTGCAACTTTTTCCATGCACCTCTCCCTCTTCTTGGCACAGCGCCAAAACTTCTATTTTGGGAAGTTTGTTTTCGAAAGGAACCCCAGAGGGAGAAAAAAAAGCAAAGAGAGGCAGATTTTCCCAGAGTTTTCCCATGAAGGAAGCTGCTCGATATCTTATTTCTCCGATTCAAAGCAGCCGCCACTGCAATTTTTAAACTTGTATCTGATGAAGCTCCACTCCCTCCTACTTCCTGTGCTAACTGGTCAGGTATTCAAATCTGCAAAACACCAAAAAAAATGTGTTCTCCTACACGTATTATATCCCTTCTCCTCTCCAGCTCTGTGTTCTCATAGTATGTTTAAAAAGAGAAAGCATACTTTGGATGTAACTCAGAAGATACATTCTCAAACGGTCCCTGCCTGAGTTTGTCTGAAGCCTTTTGGAGAGGCTGTAAAAAGAGGATTTTGCGAGTAAGTGGTGGATTTTAGAGGCGTGGACAGGCCTGAACTCGACTAGGAAGCTGAAGAATCTGGGCAGAGACAGCCACAAGTGGTGTACATGTGATAACAAAACCTCAGAGTCAATCTGAGCAATTGTTTCTTTCACTGCAGGCCGCTAAAAAAAAAAACCCGCCAAGGCCATATGACGAGCAGAATAAACAGATGAGTCTTTGTTCCAGAATGACGTGTTACAAGATAGAGACGCAAAAAAATACTTACATTTACATTTTCACATCGACGGCCATGCGTTAACGCTTTGTCTGCGATTCAAAAACTTTCTGAGTGCATTGTAAGGAAGAGGAGGTGGTCAACAAGAGGTACAATAAACACTCATGTCACCAGTGCCCACCGCCCACACCGACAGCTCGCTGTAACAAGGCGTCATATTGAACATTTGCCCACCCTGAATTCCTGCCGTTCAGCTGTGATTCAGTCGAGGAGCCTGACTCACCCTGAAAGGAGACTTAACAACCAGTCAGCACAATGGACGTCCTACTAAAGCCAACGCTGTGAGGGGATATAAATGAAACAGTGACAGCTTCAGCAGTGACCATTATCACACCACACAGGTACCGACATCGACCACTGATTCAACTAGAAGTGCAGAGAAACATCCATCCATAATAATATCAGCTCGCCAGTACATCAAAACTTCTTAAATCACCGGCTCTTGAACTGAGTAATTGTTATACACTATGTGGTGAAAGCAAAAACCAACTAATTGTTTATCCAAAATAAATGCACAGAATATCATGTTTTGTTGTTATAAGTTTCCGCCCTCAGTGACTCAATGCGATACGCGGCTTGTCACAACCGATTATTTCTCAAATAATCGTCAAGTGCTTGGTGTGAATATTTTACTGCTTCCGATCTGAGTCTGAGTCTCCCCGATCTTGCAGTGTAAACATCTAACTTTCTGATCGGGCTGCCTCCAACTGAATACCTGCGATAGCCAATGAGAGCGAGCAGACCAGGATTGTCACCAACTGGATGTTGCGTCACTTTAACAGCTCACAAACACGGCAGTGAACATGAACACATTTGAGACACCGAGCCGAGTGGAATATTGAAGAAGAAGAAGAAGAAGAGCAGCTTGTTGTTACGGCAACAACACGAGTGCCTTTATAATGTCTCACACAGATGACGACATTGATCGTCCTCCATATTTGTTTTTATTCTGAAGTCTCATTTGATCACATGAGCTCCTTTGGGATCTTGTCTCTATACTACAGGTATTACAAACATCAGGTGTGTGGTCTCGCAGTCTAGCTCTACTGTGTGCGTTCGGAGGGTTATAATATTAATAATCGGTGGAAACGGTCCTCATGTCTTCGGTGTCACACGTTTTTAAAATCGGTTAAGATCTGAACATCGTCTGGTGTGTAACCGGCCTCAGAAGCATTTCAGGAAATCAGAAGTTCTCAGAAAAGTTTTCTGCCACCCTCACTCATAGAGAGAAGTTCAACACTTCACGCGTCACTTTGACCTAAGCTGATGTTATCATTAAAAAGTTGACAGTTTCACTTCTGGTATGAATAAGACAATTTCTTGACTGTAATAACGGGAGTACGAACGTTAAAGGTCATTTCTCAGGGACAGGACATCACAGACAACGTCGAGTGGTTATTACTGTGAAAGCGTTGACGTGTTGTTTTAAAGGGTTAAATGTAGAGCAGCAGATCTGGACTTCAAGTTTAGCTCACAGAAGATTCTGGTTAAAAAGGATCCAACCTAAAACAACAACAGAACAGTCGGTTTCTGAGGCACTCCCTCCATAATCTGTGGTCATGAATAACTCGATTTCTGCACTTTCAGATGTAAAATCTGATATTCAGGTTGTTTCTATAGTTTCACATTACCTGTTTAAGTCCTCTGGGGGGGTTTCTCCCAATTTGCAGGTTTCCACCACACCCTCACCTGGGCCTTTCATTTGTCTTTAGATTCTGATGTCAAATACATGATAAGAAAAAGCTTCATCAATCTGGGTTTTTTACAAATCTGGATGTTTTTTTTTTAATTGTTTTTCACAAACTAAAAAGATATTTTTACAGTTGTTGTGTTTTTGAAATCGGTCTCGAGACCACCTTACTACTTACGGTCTCGGTCTCGTCTCAGAATTAAAAGCATTTTTACTCGGTCTTGTCTTGGTCTCTGACTGGGCGGACTCCGGATTTTAAATCAAGACCACCACTGATTGGCTGTTCTTCCACGTCATTACTGTGATTAGAAGGAAAACGCCTTTTTTCTAAAACAACAAATAACTTGAATTCACTTGTACTTTCATTCTTATCCCCCGGATACGGGCACAATTTTCCCGGTGTTACAATCTAAGTGAGTGACACGCCCAAGTTAATGATTTTGCAGTGATATTTATGGTCTTGGTCTCGTCTCGGTCTTGCCCTGTCTTGGTTTTGTTCTTTACTCGATCATAACACTGCTATGTACTTCTCTATAAACATGTGGATTGTGTCTGTTCTAATGTTATTTTCTGTTTATTCTACTCTGAAACCAGCTGAATTTCAGTCTAGGACAAATTTCTCCTTTTGGGGACGATAACGTGTATCATATGTATCATAAATAACACACAAGGCCCATGACTTTAAACTAGAAATACTGCAACATCCTTATCACAAAGAAAGACTGTTTTCCTGACCTGCATAATGCCCCCGCCCTGCAGTCCCTCAAGCTACAGAAACTCATGAGAACAACAGATTTGACATGAACAGCAGCGTTAAACACTGAAGGTATTTACTTAAATATAACTCTTATATACATATCATTATAAAAAATGACCATCTACTAAGACTTTATCTCACCACTTGGAGCCTAGGGCTGGGAAATATATTGAGATTTTAAGATATATGGATATATTTTCAAACAAGATATAGTGTAAGACAGTATCGTTAATATGGATATAGTTTATGTTGCATTAAAATAACGTTATAGAGGTGCCAGTTCACCTTTTTCTCATCTCACTGATGATGACTGACTGTCTGTCCCTCTTAACCCTGCTCCTCCTCTCTCTCTCTTTTATTGTGTTTAAGGAACATTTTTATTTTATAATATTACTTTTTAAATTCACAAACAGGTAGTTTATTTTTCCATGTGTTTTAATAAAATACATATCGATATATATCGAGTATCACCATTCAGTTAATCAATATCAAGATATGAGTTTTGGTCCATATCGCCCAGCCCTATTGTAGCCTACCATTAGTTCTCTTAGTAAAGTTCTTAAAGCTTTTATTTTGATAGTCCAACAATAACACCATTGCTTCCTCACCTGTGTTTACATTTTATGTCATTTTAAGGTGATTTTTTTTTGCACCTTTCCCCCCCACTTGTGACGTATAAGAGCAACCTGCCAACACCACTTCCTTATATGAGCAATGTGATGGTTACTTCCCTGTTAAGACTGACATTAGATGAAAAAGGGATTAGGCACAGGAGCAGAAACACACTCACATTTTGAACATCTTCTCCATGTCTTTGATCTGATGTCGGGAGAACTCTTTGAACTCGGTGTAAGGGTTGAACACCTTCATGCTGGGCTGCATGTGCTCCCCCTGCCCCTCGTTCAGCTCCTCTCGCCGCTGCAGCTTCTTGCCCAGCTCCGAGTCCGCGTTGGCCGTGGTCGACTTCTCCTCAGACCCGTTCTCCTGCCCGGAGCCGTCCACGGCCACCGGTTCCTCCTCTCCTTCTTCGATCTGGAGCCGACGGCTGAGCTTGGACGTGAGCTCGTCTGTGGCCATTTTTCAAAACTGGGTGTCTGATAATGAAAAGGGAGGGCGTTATTCAGATAACTAAGGTTTTACAGTAGAGGAGGCGTCAGCGTCCAGACTTAAAGACAGCCTTCTGTTCCCTCTCTTACCCTCCTACCCCCAAAAACACTGTAATATCCTGCGTGGGGGGAGTCTGTGTCAAAAAGCCGGAGCGAATCAGCCACGGATCTAAAAGCCTCTCTGACGCTTTGTTTTGATTTCCGGGGATCAAGCTCCAAGTTCAGACAAATGCCTCTACTCCAGGATGTAGTACATTGGCTCATTAGCTGCGTATCATTGTGTGGCGCTGTCACGCTGTGGCCACGCCTTTTAAAGAGACACACACACACACACACACACACACACACACACACACACACACACACACCCACACACACACACACACACACACACACACACACACACACACACACACACACACACGCGCACGCACACACACGCGCACACACACACACGCACACAAAAACACAGCATGCAAATGAACCGCTACAGGTGTAGTGGTGAAGTCTGTTACCTTGCAAAAAAGTGATTAGCATGTGTCTGCAGCATAGACTGCTTTTTTTTGTATGTTTCTGCTTCATTTTTAATCTCAATATATAATTATAATGCAAGTAGGCTATGTTGGTTGTTTTTTTTTACATCAGTCCATTCTGAAAATGTCTTTTATTGTTGCTGATCCCTCACTGCAGAGGCTCATGTTAGTTTCAGATAAATTCAATGTAGCTTATATTTTAGCAAAGAAAATGCACTGTGGATTTCATCATCAATAACATAAAAAGGAGGATGTTTTCTATCAAAGACCTTTTCAGCCTGCACTTATTGTTTGAATATTTAAATACATTTGAACGGATCCCTAAATGCAGACCATGTCCCTGACCAACTTGGTGCCCTAGGCAGCTGGACTTTCAATCCCTGAACTGAAAAAAACAACAGCATATTCTTTCAGCATATCCAAAAACATTTTCCCGAGCCTTAGACCCCCACCTACACAATGAACAAATATCTATTCAGTGAGGACGTCTTGTACAAAATGCAGGCATGCCCTTAGATATAAATAATCAGAAGGCAAGGGCATAAAACGATTAATATTTAAGCATTTGCCTATACAGCCTATGCCACGGGCCGGCCCTAATGCTGTGCTTTTAATGCTGGTATTTTCTAAGGAGCCCCTGAAGTCCCCAAAAAGTAAAAAATCTTGTTATTTTTTGGGGGACTTCAGGGGCTTCTTACTGTACAAGTCACAAGCAACTTTAGGAGTCAAACAATTGCCCTTTTTTAAAATAGTTTTACATGAAAAATAGATACAAAGTTGCATGAATAGTTTGTTTTCTTGCAGGCGGAGGATCCTGCTTATTCTTAAAACTTCACATTTACATTCCAAGTAAAGTAAATAATTATCTAGGCCACGTGCTTTCATCTCTACTTTTCTGTATGACAAGAGCACCATCATGTGGTACAAAGTGGGATTACATTCTGCTCAAATTCCTGTATTTCCTGACAGCTGTCGGAGTGACAACAGCTGTTATGGCAGAGTTTTGTAAATGTGATCTGTGGATTTCAAACTGAGCTGAACCTGAGAAGGAAACATGGATTTACTGGATTTTAAATCAAGACCAGTGAAGACCCTTACTGATAGGTTATTTTCCACGTCATTGATGTGATAAGAAGGAAAACGCCTCTTTCTAAAATAACAAACAACTTCAATTCATTTGCAGTTTCATTCCTTCCCCCCGCATAAGGCCAAGTTGATGATTTTTCATTGATATTTATGGTCTTGGTGTGGTTTTGGCCTTGCCCTGTCTCGGTCTTGGAGCACTCCGGTCTCGGGTATGTCTAGGTCTCAGTTAGCATGGTCTTGCCTACAACACTACAGGCAATAAGAAAACTCAAAAGGTCCAATCACGAATCACTTTTCTTCATTTAATGCAGATCATTAAACGAATAAAACATGCATCGCGTTGATCTGGTAAAAAAAAAACCTCTGTCCCTTCCTGATGCATCACCTCACACATCAGTGACACACCTGAAACCTTTAAAGTTCCCATCAGTCTTAGTGCTTGGTAAGGTGTATAAAATCCAATGCAAATTATCGAATAATACTTGATTAAATATCTCCTACACTTAATTGTATAAAAATAAAAATAAAAATAAAAATTCAGTTCATTTTGCCTACTTCTACTCTCATTTTAACGTTGGGTATTTGGTGTTATACAGTCATTACCTCTTCAAGTTTTTCTTTTGTTCTCCATCCCAACTTTCTTTTAACAAAATATCTATTATTACCTGATATTACATATACCAGATATCAATAGATACCCAAGGATATATTTGCCATTGCTGTATTTCTTAAAGGAAATTTCACTGAGAAATTATATACCTCTCTTGTCTTGTTGTTCTTTTAAATCGTTATTTTCTAAATGTGAATGGATGGGTTGAGGCCGAACATCTTTTATCAAAGGGTTTGACTTCAAGGCTGCTGTCATTTAGTATCGACCCCTGCGACCCCTTGCTGTCAAATCGGTAACCTTTTCCAGGGAAAAAGTAAACTATGGAACAACCGTTCTGCACGCTGCAAATAGTGTCTTCTGGCCTTCATGTGACGCCAAACTCACTGCAGAGAAATATTCAATCTTCTTCTTGGCTGTCTTGTTTGCTTCTGCAGCTCATAGAGGCATCAGTGTTAATTTCAGTCTGTTTAATAAGCAGATAAAATCTCCTGCAGGAGCTTTAAGATTCACAACAACAACCTGCATTAGTTATTCAGTGCATACAGAGACCATAGAGGAAGTGTGAAACAGTGACATCTTGTGGTCAAAGCTCAAGCTCAAAGCTTGTGATTTGTAACAATTTGACTCCCACATCACAAGGGGGCGCTGCAGGCAAAGAAACAAGATGGACACGTTCACAAATAAGTTTTATGGTACCATGTGTAGTGGATTTCATTGAATGAATCTCTGCCCTGAATTCACTGCATGAATTCATGTATGATAACTATATATCATTCTATTTGTGTCTTTAATACATGAATCTCTGATCTAGTCAAAGACTTGTTTCTCTTTTTATCAGTTGGATGTCAGAAGTTACTATGACCTGTTACATTTATCAGACGTTGCCACACACACAAACTATAATGGTAAGTCATCATATTTGGGTTTTTTAAATTTTACTCTGATTGTTTGGCCGGTTTGCACAAATAGAAAAGGAACATTTCGAGGTTTTGTGGCATTAATGTGACTGAAGTGAAACTGAACCGAGGTGCCACCAGCTGCTGAATCAATGTGTCACATGCATACAGTGATATATTTACACCACTACCTCAATGTGCCACTGTCACACATCTACTACCGCATCAAACTGGTTGGATGACTGCTCTGTTTTGCCCAAAACTTCTCCATGATCTCTTTGGAAACAGCGTCTGTGTTGGCATCTTAGAGACATGTGGGTGTGTGCTTCATGCAAATCATGCATGACTGTCTGGCCGGGGAAGTCTCCCGAAGCGTGTTTATAGGGGCCAGAATCTGTGTGAGCATGAAGGGGAAGATAAAACTGTAAAAGAGAAGAAAAGAACGCCATGTAGGAGGATTGTCTTACTTTTCCCAGAGTTTTCCTGCTGGTCATCAAAAAAGTCTTAGTAACTCCCAAACAGTTCAATCATTGTTTTGACAACAGAGTCTCCCCCCCCACACACACACTCTCACATTCCTGCAGTAGCCGCTCGACTTGGACTGCCACAGATTTCTCAGTTTGACGTGTTTTATTATCAACACACCGCCCAGGAAGAAAGTTATTTTTTGAAACAACGAGAAGCTCCTCCGCATCACAGTTTCTTTTCTGGCTGCACACGCACGTCACCAGCAGGGAAGTCAGTTTGGCAAAAAATGTGACTGTACTAAGAAAGAAATCCATTATTCACCCAGCAGACCCGTCGTCACATCTTCAGTACTTCCCATTCATTCTTAATCGTCATGGCAACGCGTTAAAGCAGAAACAGACATCAGGGTTACTCCATAGTGCTAGACAGGAAATAAGATCATATTGTCGCTTTGACATTTTTGTGAATGACACACACAGAGGGACAGACACAGACAGACACAGAGAGAATGTTTTCACACTAATACAAAATAAGTCTGTCAACTCATGTATGTTGTGATTTACACTGCAAAAAAAGCCGACTTTGTATTCTAGGGTTTAAGTGTGGTCCGATTTAGCCGTGTTTGTATTGGGCACTAATTCATCTGAAGCTGTGTCATAGCTGACATGTTTGCTCCATCATTTGCTCCATCAATCGTTTCTTAGACACCTGTGTAGAGTTATATAATAACTCCAGAAATCTCCAAACAGCCTGTTTCAGCACACATTTTCTGAAAAGTGGAGCAGGCAAAAGACGGAGAGGATGGACTTTTCTCATCATTGGGGGTTTGTAGATGGACTAGGGACACATGTTAGTATTAAAGGAACATGGTGAAGTGGATTTTAAAGAATATGTGACCTTTAATTGTCCCCTCATTCTGCAATGAGCCTAATACAAAGACACATCCTTATCCTGACGATGTTGTGATTTACACTGAAAAAAAGTTGAATAAGAAAGGTAAACTTTGTCTTGCTCTTAAGAGATCATACTTTGGACTGATTTCTGTGTGGATCGTTGTGTTTAAAGCTTTTGTTAGCACTTTACTTTAACTAAATTCTGATGTTTAAGAAAACAGTCCAACAGAAACTAAACAAAACAGACACAAAGCCGCACAATCAGATCTTTCTGGTACTTCTTATAAACGTATCTTATCCGCCAGTAATCTGTTCAACCACATGACAGAAAGACCTCGGAAAAGAGAGTCGTAGACTAACATAATTTTACTATGAATAGACCGTGTGTGCATGCGTGTGTGTACGGAGGCAATGAGTCTTGGTTTTTGGTGGAAATTTTCCCAGAGTGGTCATTTTTTCCCCTCTGCTCTTTTTCCTAAATTTGAATTCAGCAGCAGAGGCCTGTCACACAGCTGCAAACAGCCAGAGAACTTATTTAGATTAATACAGACTAAAGTTAGAGCTTCCTCTTAGGGAGACAATATGAGTCAGAAATGCAATAGCACTAAGTTACAGACGACGCTTCAATCATCGGCTCTTCATTGAGCTCTAGTCTGACACTTTCAACAGCAGCTCCAATAAAAACAGCTGAGTTTACATCACCAGCTCCCCTGTGTTTAGACCTTCACATAAAAGCGACACAATACCTGACAGTGAATCAGACCTCTT